GATTTTCTCTTGTTAAGTGATGTAAAATAGGGTTGTCTTTTTTTTCCAGCAGAGATCTCTAAGCTGTTTATTTACCTTTGGATGCACTGAAGTAAGCAGTTGTGCCGCCTTAAAGTGCAGATAAAGCCGTAAAGTAGATTACATCTGCCCCAGGCGACCAATGTAAAGCATTCGTGTGACTGAAATCACAGAAACCAATGGAATCAAACAGGCACGGCTGAACTTAAGGGCATCATTTTTACTTGTGCATGCCGATTCTTGAAAAAAACATTTGTATAGGTTTAGCTCTGCCAGATGTAAGTGGTCAAAATAACCACAGCAAAATACCTCTCTTAAAATATCACGCTGGCATTCCCCTTGCACTGCCCGTCTCTGCTTGAATTTCCAGTTGTTTAACTTGTTTAACACATGCAACTGTCAGCAAATCTGATTCAAATATATTTAAAGAGAAGGTTTTCATCTTTTACACAAGCAGAAATAATAGCCAGCTTCATGTATGACATCATCATCATAATAACATGCCATTAAAAATTAGGATTTCTTTATTTAATTTTTTGATGTGAATGATTTTAACTATAATTTCAAACACGTATGGTTTTATTTGTCCAATGTATTAGTGAACATATGGCTTTTAAATAATTAAATAAATAAATGGGGAAGGTTAACACAACATCTTTACTACACTTAGTGCACAGCACTGGCATTACTTTGCCCTTGACTGTAAATTCTGTTGATAAACAGTAATCTTTATTGCTGATGATGGAGTAGAAAAGATTGCACTTTTGGCTAGAATCCACAACACTGAGCTTTTCTGTTTATTGCAGAGTTAGTGCAAAAGTGGTTTATGTCTATTTTATGGAGGTTTTTTCCCGTCCACACTTTTATGAGTAGGGGTCTTACCTTCATTGAAAGAGAGGTGAATTTCTTTAGCATGTATGAAAAATATAGGGTAATAAGTTATAAAAAATTAGCTTAGCCAGCTGTTAAAATATCAAAGTTAGATACAAGTATGTTGAATTGCATGGCTGGCTAAGGTCAGCTCTCTTCTCTTCTCTTCCCTTTTTCAGGACCTTGAGAAATGAAGCCCACTGACATACACTTCAGTTTGTGGGCACTACCTTTAGGTGGCGCTGTTACTCATGACACTTTCACATTTTTGCGTTGAATCACGATCCTTTCATCTTAATAAAGGGCGTATTTTATCCACAGTTATCATTAATGAGCTGGTGACAATAATAGTGCAACAATTTCGGCTGAACTTGAAATTTCATATGCAGCAGCATGACAGCAGGCAGGGTGAAATCATCACGAGTTGGTCTGCTTTACCTTTCTACAAGCCTGTTATCGATCATCAATGAGGCGTTTGCTAAAGCCAGTAAAGCAATTCTTTGACATTTTATACACTATTATCCACTGAATTTACACACAGTGTACCAAACACTCCCGTTCTATAAAAATCCATTTATTAGTCTTCCATTTTTCTCAAACCACCCGAAAGCATTTAAAACAAAACATGTAGCCTTCTGCATCAGATATGTTTGAGATTGTTAGAGAATAGAATCCACAACAATCTTACTCTCGCGTGCGTGCACACGTGCACACACACACACACACATACACACAGTGGCTGTATGAGTCATCTGATTCAAAAGCAACAGAGGCTGTGGGAGGCAGATCTTATCTTTATTTTATAGAATTGACCTTTTGCTAAACTGGCAGAGAGGCAACATTATACTATCATATCTTTGGTTACAATAAGTTAGGGCTTTTGTTACTTTTGGAACCACTTTTGGTAAAAATGTGTCTGCCAAGAACATAAAAGTCTATTGTTTTAGGAAACTGATCCCTCATGATTGTAGGATATTTTCCCAGGATGCTAAAAAAATTTATAATAATAATTCACCTAGGCAAGATTCAATGTTTGTTTACCTAACATGCATACTTTTCGGCCATAGATAATATCCCATATTCCTCATAAATTCCTGCCAAAGGGAGTAAATTGAAAACACCCGTCAGGCATTTTTAATAAACATCAAATCACAAGTTATTTATACTTTCTGCGCAGTAACGGTTTCCATGTTTCCCAGAAATTGTATTATTCATAACATTTATTTTCGTGGAATTGTGAACACATACCATATTTCAAATGAACTACAGTAGTCAACATTTGAAGTGGATCGAAAAAGTTAATCAAAGTTGTCATAAAACAAGAACGGGTATTGTTCAAAATTCATGTATAACTTTGAAGAAAGGTTTTGATCCACTTCAAATGTTGACTACTGTACATGATGCCTCAAGTCAGGTGTCAATAATGTAGTGTCCAATACTAATAATGTTTGCTTATTCACAAATGTGTATGTATATATTTATATAGGCTTATATAACGGTATGGCTTGTCGATGGTGATTGTGTTTTTCAATGCTTTAATCCTGTCATGAATTTTCTGGGAATTTGCATTATAATTCCATTTCATTGTACAAAGGAAGTACAGACCAGTCTGACTTGCAAATTCACGGCATTAGTTGCTTATATTTGCACATTTCAGGAATAAGGCCTGTTATGCACATCATGCAAAATGAGTGTTTGTTTACATCTGTACTTTGCTTATTATTAAATTATTTAGTTCCCTTCTGGTCTGAATAAACAAAGATTTGCATATAGCTCAAAAGTCGTCATGTCAAGCCCTGCATTACAATTCTCATTTGATCTGAGAATTGTATAGACTTAACCATTTACTTATTTTAATACACTAACTTGACGTATGAGGAAAGGATGGACAATGAAACTGGCACAATTCTCATATATTTTTTCACATTATTTTGATTCAATTTTTCATTTTATTTTTGCCCTCATCTGAAGCATTCAGAGACTCTAACATGTTGTAAACTGACTGCAAGTTGAAGCAAAGTGTGTTTGCAGTAAATTAAATACACCAGACATTTATCTTTTTAAATGCATTTAATAACTTTTTGTTTGGATACATTGCACATTGCTTTGAGGCATATAAAAGATTCTGATCAAATATAAATATTTGTGTAATAAAATAATGGGTAAAATACAATAATAGGCTCATGCGAGAGTTTAATGTGCTAAGTTCCTCAACATATTTTTCTTGGATACATGACGCTTAGGCTTCAAAATATTTAACAATTATATTTAACAAGCATGGTTATGGTTTATAAATTTAAACAATAACCATGAAAGGCAGAACCATTAAAGCATAGGCCTGGTATGTGTAAAATGTTTATTTCCACGACACGCATTCAACACCCACCTTAACAATAGAGATGATGGGTCTTCGAGAACAATGGACGAAAGAAAGGATCCTAAATCAACAATCCAGGCTGATTTTAGGCATTGGGAAAGGCGCACGTATGCAACCAACATCCAAAGGAAAACAGATATATTATCAGTTCAGTTAAAATTGCCAACACGAACAAACCCGACTGCGCCGTCTGCCATTTACTGTCGCTCCGCTGCTCATGAACATATACGCGTTCAGAGAGCCGCCATGAAGCTGTGATGACCATGCAGCGTCTCGAGACCAACGGTTTCCACAGCAAATCAGCGCTATTGTTCCCGCGGGTCCTTGGAGAAAACCACCAGTCCTGAAGCTCAGCTTTTCCCGAAAGTGTTGTCATTTTGGTAGGAGTTGCAAAGGAGGCATGGTCTTTTAAAATCTGACAATTCACGTAGGTCTTTTCCTCCTGTGTGACCCGTTTCCACTGCCTTCTCAAGGACGCCTTGAAACCGAACCGAGGCGCACCAAGGGGTGGTTAGAAACCGCACCCGTTTTTTTATCCTAATATTCTTTTTTTCCCCCAGTGTGGAAAGGTCTCGTGAACTGATCGATTGATCACCGGTTCAAGTTCAGATGAAATCGTGATGCCATGCTTCAATGACTGACTTTGGAAGTGAATGGGTGATTCAGAAAACTGGAAAAATAATCTTTGATATTTATTTCTTGAGCTTGTTTCACAGGCGGTGATTTGTCGTATATGCAAACCGTCACACCCGGTTAATTAATTTAATTAAAATTAAATAAATAACACGCCTTCGGTAATGTGGTTTAGAGAATCTCATGTGTTTACATTATTCAAATAAGCTTATATTTCCATGTATAAAAACCCATGTATGCTTTGTGAAAAATATATTAAGCTAGTGATAAATTAAATAATAAAAATTGTATGGGCATTTTACAAAAGCCAAAGCTTTTAACAAAATCTAAAACTAATAACATTATCTGGATATATGGTTTGACAGGTTATTTTTCCGATAGTCTTAGGTCCTTAATGTGAAGACGACAGCTTAGAAACTCGATAGAAAGATAGACCTATTACAAACTACCGGTATTCTTGAATGTATGTGTCGCTAAACTAAATAGGCTATAACTTCATTTTATTCAGTTAAAAATTAAGGCTGTCAGTTTAATCAATTATTTTTGCGTTCTCGGGATATCCGATACCAGAATGGAACGGTAATAAGATCAGATAATAAAAGATAAAGTGTTGAACATAATAAATATATTAGGTTAACGTGTAACTTTGGCTGCACCCCAAAACAAAACATCTTTTTTCGCGGAACCCCAAGACCCCGATACCCGGACCCAACTTCGAAAATCCCTGGTCTGAGCTACTAAGTGGGCTTACTACTACAACTCACCACATGAATGCTTTAGAGATTGGACTCCTGTATAGTGTGTGTTCATTGAGTTAGATAACTATAACACCCAAGTCCGCATCCTTCTTTTTTAATGACTCGAATTTGAGCGGCCTTGAAACTGCCCTCCAAAAATTCTTCGCTTGTTTTTGATCATCGAAGTCTTGAAGGAAGGGGAGCTTGAAACAGTTCAACCTCCTTGTTCCATAATTGGTTTTATAGAGCTGGCGAGGAGCCAACGTGTTTACATGGAGTTGATTGACACATCTGTAGACCAATCATATGCTTCGCCGTAGAACGTGTCGGGTGAGATTCGCGGAGGCGGAGCTTGTTAAACAATGCTTGTTTCATTGCAGAAGAGTTTACCGAGAGCTACAGTGGTTTGAACGCAGGGCCTTCCCCCCCGTATGTGCTTTCGCTCTGCGTATATACGGATGGTTTGTAAATGGAGTCAAAGAAATTTTCCAACACACGTCTCACGGATTTTGCGAAGAAACTGGATTTTATAAACTGAGTCGCCATTTCAAGTAAGATGTCGCCAGCCTTATCTCCGCACATGATCCGTCACACAGTAACATGATGTTTATGAAGCAAAATCGGAGACACTTTTAAAAAGAATGAGCTGCTTTCGCCATGAAAAGGCGGGGAGTTTGACTAACACGCTTTAGTAGTGCTTTATCTGCAACGCATTAAACCGTGTGTGTGTTCGAGTGATTAACGTTTGGGCGTAAAAGTTTCGTTGCTGGAAATGAAAACGGGAAAGTTTGAAACGTGGCTGTCGATCGGCTTGGTGTTGCCATCACGAAGCATGGCTGTAACGTTATAACATACGCGTATTTTAACTTTGATTCGTCGTGATTTTCATTCGTGTTTGTTTTCGTACCGATTACTTAACCTTGGCATTTGCAGCAACGTTCTAGCTACTAAAAGTTGCCGCGTGAAAAGGTCAGTCGAATACGGCGTTATTACAATTCCTGAAATAATAAACACTACAACTTCATAACGTAATGCGTTAAATCATATTAGGAAAGGAAGTGGAACCGCTCAAATTATATTTTAGTAGCTAACGTTACCATCTGTTTGAAGTTAATAACGCCTAAAATTACGATGAAGCTGCAGTGACAATGTTCTGCAGGGTATTACATGATTCAAACTGTTTGTATCTGCATTTAAATCTAGCTATTAGTTTTCTGGGATACTTGTTACCGTCATAATTTATATATATAACAGACTTATGTGCATTATGCCGTAGCAGCCCATTTGCAGTGGACGAACCTAGTTTGTTTTCATACAAACCTTTCGCAGAGGTAAAAAGAAAACAGTCCGTAAAAAGGTAGCCTACAACAAGCAAACAAGAAAATAAGTGTTTTATAATCATTAACATGTTTAGTTTACCTAAATGGACACCAACTAGACATTCGTAAATGGTGGTTGTAACATACGTCCCTTTTCTCGAAATATTTTGTTTTTGCTATTTCGTGAACGTCGCGCGTTGAAGCGCATACACGGACTGTTTTTGACCGTTAATAGCCAACGAAGACTATGTTTGTAATGCGTTTGAATGAGCCTCTATAGGTCACTTATTGCGCGTATAACCGGTCAAGTCCCCACCAAAAGGCTGGATTTTCGCCCAACATACTGCCTGCATGCAAATTACGCGAGGCATTGCCGTCTGTTGATCCTAAAACAGACTTTTCGAGAGTGATTTTGAACGTTTTTTGATGTCTGTTTGCAGCCTCACCACTCGCACTCGAGAAGATTACTCTCTTTTTCCAATGATCTAGTTGAGATTAAAACTGCGTCATTATGACAGCACTGCTTGTGTTCATCTCCATGTAATTTTGGATTCAGTTCGGTCGTGATCCGCAGCTATCAAGACTATTTTCTTCTGTTTTGTTTTTGTAGGTCGGCAGAATGCCGGATAAGGACACTGATTTCCCTGGGAATCTAGGGACATTATAGCCATTAAGACTGGCTCATTCGGATTACCCCGATCGGACTGTTTCTTTGATCAAGTTGGGTCATTGTGGATGATGGATGGCCGAGACTTCGGACCCCCCAGATCTGTTCACGTACCGCCGCCCCACATCTCGGGGCTGCCCATGGAGTCACACCGACTCGGCGCGGCCGCTGCGGCCGGCAGAATACCACCGTCTCCCGGTCATCTGGGCGCGGGCCACCCGGCGGCTCTACACACTGGGAAATATCTCTCATCGGCCATGAACCTACATTCTCACCACAGTAAGTTCAGTTTTAATTTTCCTCCTGTCAGTAAACAACATTCTATTTGTTTTTAAAGTGAAAACTATAACGTCGCTTTCTAACTTTTCTAGCGTCTTACAATTTGCTGTGCTGTTTATATCTTCGCATTTTTATATCGCTTGATAAGACTTTACGGAAATATGGGAATGAATAAATACTGTTTAATAGTGTTAATTATGTAATGCATCCTTTTACGTTTATGCGGAGGGTAGTGTATGTGCGCTAACACTTGTGTAATATACGTACAATAATGAATATATTCACAAAGCAATACTCGCGTTCGGCTACAGATAAGCACTCTCATTAGCGTTCAGCTGTCGTTATAAACATTTATGCGAACAGTTGTTTTTAAAAACAGTAGACTAGCAGCGTTTGAATCACCCGTGTAATAATTCTTCTCTGTTCGCTCGCAAACAACATAAAAAAATGCTAAAACCACGGAGAGTAATGCATTTGGTCATAACTTCAAATTCAGCTGTTTGAGTAAAGCACGAGCCGAGGTGTGTTTTGGGCAAAAGACCTAACGTTTTAACTAGCATCTATTGAAAATCGACAGTATAGATTTATGACTGAAATTGCCCCATTTGTTTTCCATCACTCCCCCTCCACTGGTTGGGGCAAACACTACAATTATTGCTCTTCTCGAGTGAACTATTGCCTTCCCTGTCACTCATTTAAGGCGCAGTGTCTGACCATTGTGTTTAAAAATGCTCTTTGAAGTCCACCCTGCATATTAAAAGAAAATTATGTTTGCTGAGATGGATTTTGTACTGCAAGTTATATAAAGATCTTACGCAGAATTGAAAGAATGCATAAAGCTGGATTTACTGTTGTAACATGTTGATAATGTTGTATAGTCATATGGGATTTAGTCATGATATTTGTTGTAGTTTTTTATTAGGGGAAACAGAGATCTTTATGTTGTGGACAATAGACATTATAAGATGCCTAAAGAGTAACACATTATTTTTTAAGTTAAAAATGTCATACCTAATGACCCTTTTCAGGCAAAATGCACTAATTTGTAGTGCATATAGACATAATTTACTGAGTTTAATTGGATGGTGAGGAGAACAGTGTGTTGTAATGTCCCTTCAAGGATGAAAAAAAGCTTTATTGTGAGGATTTTGAGTTCAGAGAAAGAACTCATACTATGTATTTCTGCATAGATTTGTGTTTCTGTTATTGTCTCTGAGTTGTTGTGAAATGGTGGCTTCTGTCATGTGCACTAATTGAAATGAATGTTACAGCTTATTGCCAAAATAATTCAGTAGCTATTGTTGTTTATTGTTATAGTTGTTAAATTCTAAATTATTTGTAGGTCTTCATTAAACAAAGAACAGCGTTAATGATGCTACATAGAATAGCTGCCTTGTGCCCTGGAGCTGGACCCAATGCAAATTACTTGTAACAAATATAGAAGAAACCTCAATCTACATCAAAGGCTGTCACAAATGACGACAATGCTGGGATTGTTTGGTGAAGAAGAAAAAAAAATCAGTGATGTTTCAGTTTTAAAATTAAAAAAGGTGTTCTGTGTTGTATCACTGTTTCAGACTTTCTTTTCCTTTTACCCCTTCCACTAGAAGATGTTACACTCTGCAGATGTCAAAGAACCTTTAGATCTCTTAAGAAAGGAGATTTCATTTTGTTTAGGATTGTGTAGTAGATGTCGACAGTTTACCCATCCATATTTCCCATCTACCTGAGAGAGCTTTGTATTAGTTTTAGTCACCCTCACCTTAACCTTCGACTATCATGACATTTTTGCATGTTATTGGATGCATTATACTGATAAGATTTAGGTAGTGAGTGTAATAAATTATATCACTGCATCTGACAGCACCTTACCATTGGATGATTAACTTTCAGAGATGATGGTTTTTATTATTATTGCCTTGAGCTTTGAATCATCTATTTTTTTTTTAAAAAGAATAAAAAAACAACAATTTTGTTGCATTGTACAAATCCGTATCTAACTTTATCCCGCAATCTCTTACAGTAATCATTAGAAACAAGACCTTTAAAGCGCATGTGGAGCTCTTTGCTCACTATATGCGCATGTTTATTTTTTTGATCTTGCCAATTAAGTTGTAATAAAAAATAAAAATAAAACTGTTTGTGGCACTAATCTACCACACAATGTCTGAAGTAATTCTTCTGTATAAAAAAAAGCATAATTCTGACAACATCATTATATAAGAGCATTTATTTTAAAACGTACCTCTTCCAAGTGGACATTACACTGACTTCTTACTCATTGAGATGTTTGTTTGTATTTAATGACCCGCCCGCTCGACCCCCCCCCCCCCCCCCCCCCCCCCCCCATAAATAGTCGTCTTGCGTAGTTGTAATAAGTGTCGGATACATCATGTGTTTATAGAATGACTCAGTTTCCTGGGAACTGTCTGAACATTCCATTCTTTCCAATAATAACTGTTCAATAGCCAAATTTCCTCTGTTTGAAAGAGAAAACAGATTTCAGTCTCTTGTTCTGCCGTTCACCAGATTCTATGGAATATGTTGTTTACGTGACTAGATGCATTAGTTACTGAACAGGATAGATGGAAGAGTTAAGAGCAGTATGTAAGCATGCTATAACTCAAATTTGTTCAATGTTCAGTATAGTGCGCAGCGTTGGGAAGTGAGGTTTTTAAATTATATTTTCAAGCACTTTATACACGGACATGTTGTGAAGTTGTAAAGGAAGGCTGCTTTTGAACCCCAGTCTCAGTGCCAGGTTACGAGGAGAGGGTGGCTTCTGGTTTGTTGGATTTAAACCAAGTCGCATAGTGGGACTTGAGGCGGCATGTGAGCAAAACTTCATGCCTGAAAATTCATGTGGAATATATGAAAATATGTAATTTGAGTTTTGAATGTACATGTGAGGTGGAAAGAAAGCAATCTCTTTTTGTGCCATATGTGTGCTTCCCAACAGATTCAGAAGTATACGGGTTTTAACCCAGCCGTTTGTAATGCTGCATTACTTACAACTGCTCTGCTGTTTGATTCTGTAAAACTAGAATTGCCCACTGTTCAGAAGAAAGAATAATGCAGTAGTTCTGGAGAGGATAGAACCGTGTAAATTGGTAATTTAGTTTGTTATATTGTTTGTCTCTTACACGAGGAAAGTAGCTAAAGCTAAATTAAATGTAAGTGTCGCTCTGTTTTTAGAAAGGGGTGGTTGAACCTTTTGGAGTTTTTGCACCAGCTTGTGAAGCAAACATGTACAACATTGAACACTCGTTCCAAAAATTTCACGCATGAATCCAAGTCACCAGATGGCTGTTATTCTTGGATTTCAAAGTGACAACATTCTGTCCCTTAACTTTAATGCTTTACATTGCTGTGATGGAAAGCTTTTTACTGAAATGTAGTTGCAGAGCATTTCTATTGGAAATGCTTTTTTTCCCTCCACAGATTTTATCTGTAATATGTCCTAATAGCAACCAATTCTTTGTCCCAATCTGAAGAGGCCTTATGCATTATGAAATGTAAATCATCATAATGTTAATAGAACTAGTTATTTTCTTTCCCTTTTTTAGATGTATTAAAATGGGAAAATGTTATTTAATGGACATTTATTTTCCTGAGCAGAAGCATGTTTTCCTTTTTGAGTACCGGTAATGTACACTTTAGATTCTAAGAACGTTGCACATTTATCTACTCGTTTGATTTGCTTCTAAAGATCAATTGATTCAAATATGTTTTGAACACCTCTTGATATTTACAGTGCTGCAATTTAAAAGCAATCCATAAACACTGCAGAAATGATATGAATCATCACCCAAAGGGCCGTGTTTTTGGTCGTCTAGTAGGAATGCCAGCAGATGTTGAGAGCTTAAAGTGATGGTTTGAGAAACATGAATCCTGGAGCATTTTATAGGTATGTAACCTGGCCATCTGCTGGTCTTCACATTTAACAAGGAACATCACACTGAAAGAGGAATGTAGCAAAGCATTATGCATAGCACTATATGAGTCCCCTTTATTTTATATATGATACAATTTATATGACAGTGTAATTAATGCAATTGAAGGTCATTTGCATGGGCACGTTGGAACTAGGTGGATTTACTCACCTTCATGATAACAGTAGTTTAGGATTCGATTTACCATTAACATGGTTTTTCTGGAAGGAGAGCAAGCTTAAATTGTGTAATAGTCAATTTCTGGGCAATGACTGACATGTTCAGAGATTGTTAAAGTATGTTATTCTACCTGAAGATTTTCTGGGTTTCTAAACTTCAGAGAATGATTCACTAAGTTCGTTTTGACTTGCATTTTCTGGTTGATGGTTTTTTTCCTTTCTCATTGTCTTGGGAGTCAGTAGTCGTCTATTATTCAGATTAAACGATCATCCATTAATTTTCCTTGTCTTATATTAGTAATGCTAGCTTTAGCAATTGTAATAGTCTTGCTAATAGGGGGATGTTAATGTTTGTTCGACGTGCTGAACATGAAATGTATTGCTTGAAACTTGCCTTTCTAATCCACAAAGCACTCGTTTAACAGGATTCCCATGAAACTTTGAATTACTAAAGCATCATGGGAAAATGCAAATCTTTGCTTGATATGCCTTTGAAGTGCGCTGCCTTTTGGAATGTACGATTGATCGATTTTCTAATGCCGCATCAGAGGATCCCGGAGTTGCAGCCCTACTGGTGGTTTATGGGCTGTTTTTAATAGAGGACCCTGGTGTTTGGCCTCAAGATAGGAATGACTGCCTCCACATGGTTCACTCCCCTCTAGATTTTGGGGTTGGTTTTATTGATTCCATTTGAGCACCCTCTTTTTGCAAAAACCCCAAATGGCAACTCGGTTTTCTGTGAAATGTTCTATTTTTGAAGAGCTATCTTGGCACTTTCCTGTCGTTACACTTGCTTGCGGGTATCCAGAGCTGAGAATGAATGTTCCTGTTGTGTTACTTTTATTATTTCAGCCTTTTCTGTTTAATAAGCTATACATTATACCGTCGT